ATCGATTTTAATTTTTTTTCTCCCGGGTGTCGTTAGGTCAGCGGTTTTTAGCTAATACATTGTGAACATGTATAATATAGAAAACAATTGCACATAAGATTGTTTTTCTGAGTGCACCCACAAGACCACAGGAAATGATCAAACGTTAACTATTCCACTTTGCCCGACCTTCCCCTACTTAAATTATGTATTATAATTCAAAATAAAGAAGTCATTATTATATCAGTCTTTAATTAAATAAAAATACTGCAAAATTCATAATAAATTTTTTTAACCTTAACCGAACAGTGAAATATTTACGAAAAAACTAAAAACAAAGTAAAAATGGGAGTAAGAAGAGTTCCGAATGATTCGGACCTCGTACCTTACTGAAAGAGTTCGGAACTTTCGGCATCTATAGCGAATGTTTACGATATAGCAGTCAAATGTGATTATAGCTCAGTATGATGGGTGTGTGCTTTCCGCTCCTCGGTTCGATCCCAAGGCACGCATGATTTTTTTATTTAATTTTTTTCAGAAAATGACAATTATTTTAAAATATTTTTTTGCTTATGTAAGCTGTTATGTCTTGACAAATGTACCACATTGGCAAGACTGTAAATAAGGTAATGGACAAGGACAAGTCAGCCTTATCCGAGAAGTCATTAGAGTATGTACTTGAGTTTTATGTAAAAAGAATAGACGAACAAGAAGTTATAATAAAGTAATTAATGTGCAATAAGTAGCAGTGTTATTTCCTTTCATCCAAGTACACAGCATAAGCAATATAATTTTTAATTTTGTGCAATGTAGGTGGATCTATATTTTCACTGATTGGTACATCTTAAGGATATTTTTCATCAGACGGTTCACTGACTGGAAAAATCAACTGATTGCACAAAATATTAATTAGGTACCATTCGGAACTCTCGCGGTAAAGTATGACTTTCAACCGTTAAAAACCCTGGTCACTTCGCAATAAAAATATTGAAATACCTACCCTATTTATAAAAATCTCAAAAACAAAATTAAACTTAAAATATAAAAGTTATTCCTTTTCATGTTATCCATCACAAATAGTTCCAAAACTACAATGTAGTTACAGTACTTCGCGCGCACCGTTTTAAGAAAATTACTCTATATACCTACCTATCTGTTCTGCGGCTCACCAGGAACACCTGCCCATACAGAAATGTACGCGTACCGAGACCGGTCTTCTTTGTAAAATCAGCCAAGAAATCTCCCGTAATTTGTGAAATTTTTTGATATAAAAATGAGTAATGAATTAAGGAAAAGAAAGAAGAACAGGAAATTAGAGAAATAGCAGGCGAAAATTGCAAAATTTTACAAGAAGATTCGGAATATGATGACTCAGGTATGTTTTTTAATATATAAGCAGCATTTTCTAAAAAAGAATAGGTAATAGGTAATTAATAATTATTTAAATATTGCAACGGTATTCAGTACATTTACAAGTTTCTACTATTATTATGTATCTTAAAAACCGTTTCACAAGAATGTGATATCTATCCACTCTCGTTTTTTCGCCGGTTGCCGTTCAACGTTCATACGTTGGCATAAAATTCCTTTGCTGATAACAGTAATAAACAACAACACAGCTCTGATACAGGGTTGTTCGTTTAATATGTAATTATTAGTATAGTCGCTCGACCTACTAAACAATAAACAAAATAGGGGCGGTCGCTCGACCTGCTATAAACCTATAATAAACAAGGGAGTCGTTCCACAGTCGTACCCACAGTAATATAATTATTTTTTAAAGGGTCGTTTCGATCTACCATAGACAACAAAAAATTATTTTTCGGTGGGGTTGTTCGACCTGCTGGACTCAGAGGTCTGTCGACTTTCCCATAGTGATATTATATAACAAAAAAAAATGTAAAAACAAAAATTGGCGATCGCTCGATTTTGGCTTAATTTTTTGATTTTTAAATCGAAATTAAGTCCACCCATTTATTTGCAGGGGATGAAGAAGCAAACAGTGTAATACGACGGAGGAAATACACCGAGTAAGCGAATCAGATGGTGAGGATTCAAGAAGATTAAGTTCGACATCAATATTAGGTGTAGATCCAACTGAAAATAAAACCAAAAAATTGACCATTCATGAAGATCTCGCTAGACATTGGCAGGAATATCTGAAAGTAGGTCTAGGACATGAACATAGAAAATCTATTTTAGAAAAATATTATATTCTCAAAAATTGTCCCACTTTAAGCAGTCCCAAACTAAACGAATAGGTGAGGGAAGTGCTTAACGAAATCGATAAAAAACAAGAAAAAATTTTGCAAGCGCTGCAGGAAAATATTGGACTTGGAATAGCTGCTATTGGACTTCCGATTTCTAAATATATTGAAAACCCCGACAGCCTGTCTGAAGAAGATATAAGCACATTGATGGATGTAGGAAAAATTTTCTGCGATGTTCACTATTCAGTTTCTATGCATAGGCGTTATAACATAATGCCAATTTTGAAACCAAACGTTAAGAAAGCACTTCAGTCTTCAGCCACCAGACACATTGATCATTGCTTACACTTTCTGCCAAATAACGAGGGACTTGGATTGTGGTATGAACAAGCTGGGGAATCAGTGCACCAAGAATTTGCAAAATTTTTGTCACGTTATAAGAAAAATTGCTTGGCTAATCCCAATTATCTTGATAGTCTAAAAAAAGCTGTAGTGAATTTCTCATCACAGCACATTTAAAATTTAACTAGATTGTTTCCAAAAGGACAAAATTCCCAACATTTCTTTGGTTAGATAATGCAAAAGCGTATTTTATTCCTTGTAGCATTTTTGAATTTCATTGATTAAATAATAAAAAGATTAATCGTCCAATACAAAATTCTCACTTGTATTTTTTTATCTCCAGCCTGAACATCATATTCTTGAAATTTACGTGGTTTTGGACCACAAGTGAGAAAACATGAAATTTTGTTCTACATTTTGCAGGTACACCTGTTTTATAGACTGGTTCCGAAATGGAACACAAAAACAGAAACACTTTTTTTCATTAAGTCTCACTAAACAAAAACTTTTAGGTCCGGTTAAAAAAACAGTTGTCGGCTTCTCGCGATGACATAGTCCAGAAGGTCGGAAGTAAAAGTGTTAAAGAGAATGCTGCGAAAATATAATCTTTTTCTTCAACAAAATGTCAATAGACTTACAGAAAAAGATAAAACAATTTACAATTACAATAAAGAAAAAGTTCGAGCCATATGTTCAAATTACAATAACCAATTTATATGATGTAGCCCAAAGTCAATTTAGAAAAATATAGCAGATATAAATTCTACAAACATGGAAATAATTTATTAATGTTACAAAACCAAACTGTAATTGAAGTAAAATACATTGTTTAAAACAAAAAATCAAATAAAACTATTAGAACAGCATATAATATTTTAGCTACTTATACTGAGTATCCAACAGATTCTTCAATATTTTATAGTTTAAAATTGGGTGCACTGATTCAACTATAATGGAATTTGCTGTCGAAAATATTTTATATAAAGGTGTAATCCTATCACAAGGTTCAGACAAAATTTTTATGCCACTGTTACATTTGTTATAAATGTTTAGCACTTCTGGGCTAGATGCGCCAGATCAAATTAATATGTTAGTTTTATTTTATAAAATTACTGAAATTGTATAATTTTATTTCTTCTTGAATTTAATCTATGGGACACTTAATTGCTTAAATTGTTTGCAAATTTTGGACTTTCACTTTTAAAGGTGCCGGTTTTTTATTTTAATTTGTTTATATTATTATTATTATTAATGGTTTAATTATTTTAGAGATTACTTAGTAATGAAGAGATTCATAATTGAAATATACCGATGTCAGTAATTCCATTTTGTTGAATCAAATATAATGATCATGGCAATCTTCCATGTAGGCGTGCCAAATTGTCTCTCCTCAAATTCTGAGCTTAACAAGGCTATAAGGAATAAAACAAAATTTAACAATCTTGTACAATAAAAGTGAAATTTTAAACAAGTAAATTCTAGCACATTTTAATTGCATAAAAAACAAATACAATTACTTAGAAAACATCTAAAAACATCTTTTATATTTTCAGATAATTATGAGATTGCTTTAAAGAGAAGGACAGAAGTAGTGTAGCAAGACCGTTTCTAATTCAAAATGTGTGTAGGATAGTGTACTGATGTGAATAAGTGAGCTCGATGGCGCTTGGTTGATGGTAGATGTGTGTAGTTGGGGTGTGAATATGAAGAAGTGTTGTGTGGGGTGTGTGAGGAGATGGGGTTGTGTTGTGTGACGTCAGTGGGGTTGATTTTTGTTGGATTGCGCGTGTGTGTGTGTGTGTGTGTGTGTGTGTGTGTGTGTGTGTGTGTGTGTGTGTGTGTGTGTGTGTGTGTGTGTGTGTATAATGGTACATTTTGCGTGGGTGTTAAAAATGTGTATAGAATATTTGCTGTTGGTTTGTGCGAGATTATGTGAGATTGCGAATAATATTAATTAGGTGGCAGATTGTGTTAATCGACTTCCTTGGCCAAATTGATTTTGGGAATTTGGGGTTTTATCGCTAGAATGTAAATAATGGTATGTTTGCGTGGGTATTTTGGGTGTTAAATGATTGAATATTTGCTTTAGTTTGTGTGGTTATCGCGTAAATTAGAAATAAAAAATTATGTTGTGTAGATTGTTAATCAAATTCCTTTGCAACAACTGATTTTTTTGTAATTAAGACCGATATAAGATGTGATTGTTTAATTTGATATGATTAAATGTTTGTTACTTTTTCCTTGTGATTACTCCCACATGCGAATTTACTGTGCATGCTGATTTTTTTTTTAATTAATAATTAATTTTAATTTAGCTAAGATATTATTACTAAAACCCAGTGGTGTAGATGTTTAATATTTTCTTGGGTACAGCTATATTTTGATATAAATGTAAAGAAGTAAAACTCAATTTATTTTAAATTTAATTTATTAATATAATATAATATACAATATAATACAATAAAATAAAACAAATGTAACAATATAACAATGTAACTTTACCTAAAAATTAGATTTTTTTGGTGTTATTTAGGCAGGATCGTATTCAGAAACCAACACCGTAAAATCCCTACATTCTCCTGAGTGCAATTGAATCGCCCATTGTCGTGGTTGGCACAATAATCCTGGGTCCTTTCAAATTTGGGTGTCGCTTGGATGGTATCGTCATATTGAGACACGTCAATAATTACTGGATAGTGTCCTAGTTCATGGCACTTTCGTTGCAAAAATTCCGCCTTCTGGTTACCACGGACGTAAACATAGTTTGCAGAATATAGCAAGTTTGATTCTAATATTTTGTTTACCTGTCCGTGGTCGACAAACCCTGACGTATACTGGATTCCATGGACATTTCTTTCCAGGTATCTCACTGTCTTTCGGTCCATTTCATCCAGGTTGTTATACGGAATTGCCGATGTAAATAGAAAATGGTACTGCTTAAACCCAATTTCTATAGACATTTCCTTAGGGTGGTAAATACCTTCAACGATAAATCCCTGGATATCGACGAACGCAATCTTCATGGTTGATAGTGTATAGTAACAAAAAAGCTCTCGAAGAATTATAAATAATGATATATTTGCATGGGTATTTATACGCAAAATTATCAAATTTGCGCACGTTTTAAGATTGGCGGTTATAAGAGATTAGAAATAAAAATTAGCTTGCAGATTGTTAATCAATTTCGGAATTATTTTTTTAATATTTTTAATTTATCAAGACGGATATAAAATGTGATTATAAAAATTTGGGTAATTGTTAGTGACATTTGCAATATCTAATTTAGATATTTTGTTAATAACATGGTAGGAAATTGTGATATGATTAGTCGCCAACTTCCTTTGCAAAAAATTATTTTGGATATTTTAGCATTATCAGAAACGTTTTGCTGATTATCGATTTCCTTTTGCAACACTTAATTAGACTGTTTACTATCACGCATTGGTATGATGTTATTTTAATTAAATAACTTTGGTTTCCATAATTTTGAATATTTTTCCATTTTTTTTATTGTCACGTGATATTGTTTTATTTAATAGGTATTTGTCTATTAAAATCATTATTAGTGTAATGTCTTCGGAAGACTATAGACGTAAACTTGAGGAATTCGGTGAAAAAGTCCGTAATATTAGTAAGGACATAAAGTTTTATGAGGATAAAAGTAAAACTATAGAAGAATTGGCAAATTTGAAATTGTGGGATAAAGTATTTGAAAAATATCGAACCCCTGCTCCTCAGTCAATTTACCCTTTAAGACGAATTGAGCCGAAACCATGTTAAATATAAATTTAATAATACTCACAACAATTTTAAACGATATACTATATACCAATGTGCCGGATGATGGGGTTGATCATATGTCCGTTTGTTTTGATTTGGAGAACCTAAGACAAGATTGTACGCTTTCAGAATGGAAATTAATGAATTTGTCAATGGTGAATGATGATAATTTGAAAACATTTTCGATAGAAATACCTATGGCTGCAAAAGAGACGCTCAATTACAAATTGAAACCTATATTTGCAGACATGAGTGTCGGAGATATTCAGGCGTGGAAAACTGTAATATTAGATCAACCTTTACTGGAAATTGATTTAAGACATGTTGGAGAAGAAATACTAAGAAACGATACTACGCAAAATGAATTTTATAAATTATTTGTTCTTACATCTTTTACTTTATCATCAATACTTATTTTATTATTAAAAATGTTAATAAAATATATAAAAAGAAAATTAAATAGTAATAAATGATTGAAAATATGTATTTGTGTTTTAATAAAACGTCATCTATTTTAAATTTCATTTATTAAATAAAAACATAACGTAAATACATTTCATTTTTTAGGTAAAATATTTATGAAACAGTAGCGTAGATGTTCAACATTTTCTTGGGTTCAGTGATTTAGATTAAATTATAATTTTTACAACTTCTGTCAACGGGAAGTATTCAACCATAGAATCATGCACTATGATGCAGTAAACCTTAGTATTTGCGGGAAATCCAGTATCACTTTCAATTTCTAGTCTTACATCAACTGTGGATGATTTAATTTTTTTCTTCTTGTTTAGAACAATCGATTACAAAGAGAGCATGCTTTTTAAATTCTGTATAATCTAAAAGAGGATGTTTTATTTTTGAATTTGAATAGCTTGAATAGAATTCCGTGTAATCGTGGAATGCCATCATATAATCATCGTTTTTGAAGTCATGCTGTATTCTTTCGTTGGGCCAGTATTCTCCATTTAACGATAACCTTATACTTGAAACATTAGCATCATCAAAGCATACAGCATTAGCCTTTACATTACTTCGCTTATCCGTTTGAAAACATACAATTACAAAACGGGGTCGTTCTACAGATGCACTAGTCTTGACAGACCAAATTTATCTTTTAGCACCAGCAGTAATCGCTGGTAGTTCATTTAACTCCCACTTCCTAAATGGTATCAATATAGATCGATCCTTTTTTATAGACTCCATCAATTCTATTTTAATTTCATTGTTTGGAAATATATGTTTTACACGTAATTCTAAACTCTCAATTATTATTTTTGCCGTAGTATCTGTTATACCCCCACCGGCTATAGGCTTTTCTGTTATGATTATAAAATCATTATCGTTACGGGCACGAATTAGTCGAAATGTTTGATTTCCACATGTGACTAAAGTATAATCGTTTAAAACATTAACGGTCGTATTCACCATTGTTCAGTTAAATTTATAGTTAACTAACAGTTTGTTAATTGCTAACAGCTTGTTAGTGATATTTGTAATGCACCACCCATTTTAGTCTGTCAGTCTACTGACAGTTTGATATCGAAAAGTCACTAGGAAATTAGGTTGGATACTATCTGCAAATTACACAGAGAGGGAGAAAGAGCTTTTACTTTCTCTAGTAAAACAAAACTTAAAAATAATTGAAAATAAGAGGACGAATGCAGTTTTCAACAAAGAAAAATTGCAATGTTGGGAGAAGTTGGCTTGGGAATATAATGCCAATCAAACAACCGGATTTCGAAGTGGATTGCAATTGAAAACTGCATATGAGCAATTAAAAAAACATGCGAAACAGCATAAGGCTCAGGAGAAGGTATACATTTAATTAATTTATTAAATATAGTGAGTAATTGAATATTATTTTAAGGTTGAAATGCAGAAAACTGGAGGAGGAATATTTGTTCCCAAACTCACAAATCTGGACAATAAAGTTCTAGAGCTGATAGAAGATAATTTTTTTCTATAGAGAATGCGTTCGACAGTAACAATTTGGATACAGAGCCGCGACAAAGCACCAGCCAACCCGAAGAAGAAATTATTTTTGTTTAGAAAATAATGAAGAAATATCCACAATAGATGAGCCACCCAAGAAAAGGTCAAAGAAAAGTAGTACTAAAATTAGACAAGCACCCATTACAAGCACTGAGGAGTGCGAAAATAATATTAATTTGGTAAATAATCCAGATCTTGAGGAAGGCACTAAAAGAAACATAACAAGTGGAAATAAACGGAAACTCCCAGCTACAGTTCTCTTAAATAAAAAAAAACTAGAAATATTAAAAAAAAAGATGACTATCTTAGAACTAAGAGAACAGTCTGAAAGAGAAACATTAAAGGGAAAAAAACTTGATAATGATATTAAGGAAATAATAAAGGAAAGAGAAAAAATTGAACTAAGGATAAAACAAACACTTCTTTTAGAATGATTTTTACCATTCTTCTCTTATTTTTATGTATGTTAATATTTTTTATTGTGATATAAAAGTTTCCTAAGTTTGTTTTTTAGTATTTAAAGTGTTTTGTTTGAAAATGTATTTTTGTATTCGTGCTTAAAAGTGTTTAGGTTTTGTTTGTGTAATAAAAAAATATTTAACATTTTTTTTATTTGTGCAATAATTAATAGGTATGTACATTTTAATGCTAGATTTGAATGTGTTAAAAGCTGCCATGACATTTCAAACAACTAAACCCTAATATATGAATAAAAAAGTAAAAAAAAATGCAGTCTTATCAAACAGATTTCTATTTAAGAAAGTGTAGATCTACACAAAAATATTATTTATCAAAGTGTCCCTTGTTGAAGTATTTTCATGTAGTGGAGGATCATAATGAACTACCAAATCGTCAATGTCTAAATCTGCTCCAAGTAAGTCTTCTTTTAAAGTTCAGAAAAGAACGCATCGACGCTTCGTTTGGAGCAGGGAAAGGTAAACAAGCATTAATATTAATTTTGTTACACATTACTGTAATTTATCCACTTTTTAGAAATTACTTTGAAGAAAATTCCAGTTATATATCCTGTAACGTTGGAAGTTGGTAAGTGCTTTTTTGGACTGTTACAATACGTAAGTAGATTTTTTCAAGTTAAAATGTATAAGAGGAAGAGAAGTAGCACCTGGTATCGACGAGTTAAGAGAGAAACCGAGCAATTCGTATTTGATTCTTCTTTGCCCTCATCAACACATACCTGCCATAATTTGGCTTCAGCATCTTTCCATAGCTCTATAAATTTGTCAGATTCCCATTCTTCAAATGCTTTTTTACCCATTTTTAATGACAATGTTTCGATTTGTGAAAGAGAGGTAGACTTAGAATCCAACTCTTCAATTAAATCTGAGGTAGACTTAGAATCCAACTCTTCAATTAAATCTGAGGAAGACTTAGAATCCAACTCTTCAATTAAATCTGAGAAAATTCCTCTTGTTGATAGGAACAAGCACTTAGAGGTCGAAAATCAATGTGCTTCTAAAAACCCAACGGCAGTAGAAAAACTAAAAGATTGGGCTGTTAATCACAAAGTCACACATTTAGCCTTGCAAGGACTGTTAAAAATTCTTTCTGAATCAGATGAAAGTGACTTGAAAAGTTTTAAGCTGTTGCCTCGACATCCAAGAACTTTTTTAGCTACTCCTCGAAGGACTGAGATAAGAGCAGTTGAGCCAGATTATTACTGTCATATTGGTATTCATTGTTCTCTTGAAAATCTTTTTAAACGTTTAAATTCAATTCCCGAAGAAGTCATTATAGCTATTAATATTGATGGTTTACCACTTACAAAAAGCACATCTTGTCAGGTGTATCCTATTTTGGGTATTATTAAAAGTTTGCAATCAGGTTGTACCTCTGACAATGTTTTTTTAATAGGAATTTATGAAGGTCATGACAAACCTAAAGACTTCAATGATATGTTAGTAGATTTTGTTAATGAAGCAACGGATTTAGTTACAAATGGCATAACACTGTTTGGTAAAACAATTGAATTTAAAATTTCCATGTTTTTGTTTGATGCTGTGGCAAAAGCATCTGCGTTAAAAGTAACTGGACATGCTGGTTATTATTCATGTACCAAGTGTACACAAAAAGGTTCATATATAGATGACAGAGTTTGTTTTCCTGAAATTAATTATGTAAAAAGAACTCATAAAGATTTTGTTGAGCAGTCAAATCCAAGGCATCACACAGGTCAATCAATTTTATTGAACATTCCTAAAGTTGATTTAATTTGTGATGTTCCCTTAGATTATATGCACCTTATATTACTGGGGGTGGTTAAAAAATTATGTTTAATATGGGTTTCTGGTAAGCCACCGAATAAATTTTCTAACCGTCAAATAACATCAGTATCAGATAATTTAGCAATACTTAAAAAATACATTCCAACAGAATTTGCAAGAAAACCAAGAGATCTAAGAGAAGTAAAACGTTGGAAGGCTACCGAGTATCGCCAGTTTCTTTTATACACAGGTCCAGTTGTACTTAAGAATGTATTGTCAAAAAAAAAGTATCAAATTTTTTTAACTTTAACTGTTTCAGTATCTATATTATTAGACAATTCTTTTTGTATGTCAAAAATAGATTATGCAGAGTCTTTGTTGATTTTTTTTGTAAAAACTGTAATATGGTATTACAATAATGTCACATAATTTTCATAATTTATTACATTTGGCAGATGATGTAAAAAAATTTGGTTCTCTAGAAAATTTTAGCAATTTCTCGTCAGAACTTTTTACAAATATTAAAAAAAATGATTAGAAAACATGATAAGCAGTTGCAACAAATTGTTCGGAGATATGCAGAATGTCAGAATATTAACAGGTCTAAACCATCAAATTTATTTAATAGTCAGAAATTTTCATTTTTGCAACCACACAATACCCAACTCCTAGTTAAAGGTTGCACCCCACCAGAATTTAAAATGGCAGTCACCAAGTTTTTTAAACTCTCTGTTAACATTAATGATTCGTGTTGTACTTTGAAAGACAAATCAATTATTGAGATAAAAAATTTTGCGTTTGCCCCAGACACTGATCAGCATGTTGTTATAGGTAAAAAATATAAAGAAAGATATAATTTTTTTGAAAAACCATGTCTATCATCCTTTATAAATATTTATTTTGTTAGGGATTTAGATTAATTATGTTTTTGGCCTGTAAATGAAATAGAAAATAAATTATTGCGTTTCCCATATCAGGATGGGTTTGTAGTATTTCCAATGATTCATACAGGTTCAGGGTTGGAAAAAACCTATTAATTTTAAAAAATATTAGTAGGTTTTTTAGTTCATATGCAGAAAAAAATATTAGTAATATAGTAAAACAAAAAATACAAGGTAAAGTTAAAAAATAGAATTTTATTAAGTACTTATATTAAAAAAAAACACATTCAGCAAACAAAACAAAAATAAAAATGACTATGACACTATGATTTTTTTTAATTGTTACTATCACTAGAATCAATAAGTTCATCCAGTGACTTTTGACAAAATATTGGCATTTGTTTTTATGTATACTAATTTTTGTGTTAAAAATTTGTAAAATTGTGAATTATAAATATATATATTTTAAAAACCTAAAATCGCATAATGTTCACTTAGGTTTTTTAAAAAAACCTAAAATACCTAGGTGCAAAAAACCTGTACCTGCCAAACCTGTACAGGTTATGTATCATTATTCTTGTTTTTGTAGACAAATTTTCTTTAATGTAATAAACCACCTAAAATGAATTATAGAGTATGAATATCTTCAATAAAAAAGTATGAACATGGGTTAAGTTTTTTACACTCTGTTAATAGTACAAAGCAAAGTATTAAAAAGTTACTGTATGTAATTATTAAATGTTAAGACATCAAAGGGAGATTACGTATGTTTTTGTTTGTGTGAAATGGAGGGTTGGCATTGGACAGAGTCTGTTTTCCATAAAAATGGAATGTTTCTTTGTATTTCTATTTTATAATCAGAGTTTAAACTGAGTTTGAAAAATCTTTTACTACTATACATAATTCCTATAGGAAGCTGAAACTTTTTAACATGGGGCCGAAATATTAATATATAAAAACCTATGGCTACTCTTACAAAAAGCATGGTATAAACATCAAGAATCTAAGTCTCCTCATTGTCATTTTATATATTTCATGCACTGAAGAGTGTTTATGTCTGGTATTCTTGTCTTATATACTTAACTTAAAAAAGGTGCATAAATATCTGTTCTAGGAATTTTTTAATCTGGTTTTAAGTTATTAATGTAGCTTACATTATTTTAAATTCAGTAACTGCTTTGTTTGTTTTTTATTCTCTAGATTATGCCTTGGGTTATTGTAACCTTTACAAGCACAAATGAAGTAGAGGCAATACCAGAAAAGTGGTATAATGAAAACCTCAACATTGTTTACTACCCCAACTTCGATAAAAAACAAGATATTCAGAAGGCAATTAAAAATGAGTCTGAGCCTGATTTAAAGAAGTGGATTCCCTATGACGTGACAATTTTCCATAACAGAACATATCACAGCTTTGTACAAGCAACTGCCAAAGCTAGTAAGGCTTGTCATGTTTCTGATATATCTGAAGCGGAACAAGCGTTGACGAAGAGAATACCAAAAAAAAAATATTCAGTTCCATTGATTCATCAGAATCACTAGAACAATGTCCAACACTAAAAAAAACTGCTACTTCAAAACTTGGAAAAGCCATGTAGGTAATCAAATAAGTCCATGCGGGGACTATTTTAACAGATAAATGTATTTATTTTCAGAGCTGCAGGTAACCAATCTGAAACGACCATCAATTCAGAAGTGACTGTGCATGAAGTTGGCACTTCAAAACTTGGAAAAGCCATGTAGGTAATTAACAAATTCATTTAGAGAACTTTTCTAATAGAGAACTGTATTTATTTTCAGTGCTGTAGATAACATATTCGAAATGACCACCAATTCAGAAGTGACTGTACTTGAAGCTGATGGAGATGAAACTAGTGGTAAATCATTTAATTTTAATATTCATTTTGATTATCAGGAAACACCAAACATATGTCCTTTACTTGAAACACATCTTTTTATACATATTGAACACAAGCTATAAAGGTTTTTTTTAATGACCATTACTTATTCTTAATTATATTATTATTATTATTGTTATTGTTGTTATTGTTGTTATTGTTGTTATTGTTGTTATTGTTGTTATTGTTGTTATTGTTGTTATTGTTGTTATTGTTGTTATTGTTGTTATTACCTGTTAGTTCAGTTTATCATTCACATTTCATCCTTTTGTGGTTTAATTTGAAAATAATAACAAGTTTGACTAATTCTGAAAATACTTTTTAGATACTTCAAAATTATTGCAAAAAATTGCCAAATTACTAATCACACAAAAAAAAATTTTGAATGACCAAGAGAAACAGATTCAACAAATAACTTTTAAGACTAATGAGATTTATGATGTACTAAAAGCCCTAACAGATGAAAAGAAATCTGACCAAGAACTACAAATTACCGATGTGAAGGTATTTGATCAAATCCCTATAACAACTCCAGATGGACTTGCGTACATTGAATCATTAATAGCTGAAAAGACATCATTTAATTTACTAGTAAGTTTTTCTTGAATAGTTGTTATTAAAACCTGGTCTACAATATTTGGTTTTTGCAGCTTACAGATTTTAGCAGGTTAGGGGCAGCCAACTATAAAGAACTCATTAGGAGAATAATGAGACAGCTGATGACAGACTCTGTTGCCAAGCTGTACAGCGTTCATGGACATAAGGGAAAAACGTCCTTTTCTAAAACAACCTGCTTCAGAGCAGTTATAGGTATTTAATTATTTTTCTATTTGTAATAACAAGTAATATACTTTTTTTCTACTACCCTATGTGTAAAGTACTAATATGACTCAAGCTTTTAATACCAAAGTTATTCATCACAAGTTTGTAAATGGGCACGCCAAACTGTGTTTCAAAAAGAAAAAATTATAGAAACATGTGTACTTAATTTGGGTGACTGCATGTCTTATTCATGTTTTTATATTAATTTTGATAAAATTTGTTTTGTATGCTTAAATTAAAAAATTGTAGATTGCATACAACAATATGAAATATTTCATCGAAAATATTTTAGGTAGGTACACAGTTCACAGTAAGGTGAAAAATACTTATATTTTATTCTTGCTTTGGTTAACAATTTCAGTTTTAAAATATGTATTATGAAATTCGTGAGCAAAGTCTCTTTTAGCTCCTATGAATATCATACTCGCCTTGTTTGTGTAATGATATTCACTTTGTCACACAATACATATTGGACTCGCCTGTTACATGGAACTATATTATATTCTCTTATTTTAGGTGCAGTTCAGATCCACAATAGAAATGTTACTTCCAAAGACGTAGAATTAGTGATGGGCCAATGGCTTGCGAAGGCCAGTGAAAGGCTCAAAAAGACAAGTCTTGAGGAAACCAATAGGTAAATTTTATTATTCTCTATCACAGTTTTACCAATAAGGTCTCAATCATTAGAATTATCTAATTTCTTAATCCTAACTGTTTATTTCTTATTTGGAAACTAAAACAATTGCGAATAAGTTTACAAAGATTTAAATATGAAATCTAACAGAGGAACCCACAGTCTTTATAATTTAATGGGTTTTCTGTGTGAAATATTTACATTTAAAAGTAAAAAACTTAATTGATATGAGGCTGTGTCCAATATTCCTGTAGATCACTAAAACTATATACAAGTGGATTTACTAAGACACTTTTATAAAACATTTTGTAGCATATAAAACCATTCGGTGAACAGCTATTTACCATGAGGATAGTGCAGTACTGCTTTCCAGTCAGTTACAGAACTGTAAGTGGTAGTACACAGTGCACTTACTGATATGCAGTACAAGCACTGATTAACAATGTTTATAAACATATTTATATTTATAAACATTGTTAATCAGTATGTTTCATTTTTAAATAAAACAGTAGTATTTAAATACTTAAAATTTGTAATAGACAAGTACAAGTACTTTAATGAAAACAACGGGATTTTTTTTTTTCACCCTTTCAGGCATCCCGCTGCTCCCCCCTTGAGGGGTTTCAGCTTATCCCCCCAATCAGGCTTGGTTCCAGACCAGGGGCTCCCCCAAGCAAGATTGGGTTCCAATCTACTTTTTCCCTCTTGGGGTTCGCATGGTGGCACTGAAGCCTCACGGGCTTATTGTACCACCATTTGGATGCCCTACTCCTTCCCATTCAATCTTCCCATTCAATCTTCTCATTTATTCTCCCATTCATTCCACCGTTTGGATGGGCCCCGCACTCTACGAGTTCGGTCACACATCCAAACCGTGACCGGAGAGATCACTGCTTAACTGCGAGAGCGTAAATGCCCATCACTACTCTCGCCGCTAGCCCCTCCGGTAACGGGAAATTAGGCACTAGTATAATTTTAAAATTACAAATTAAATAAAATATTTTCTGCTCTGATTTCTTCTCATTATTTTTTTTTTTTTTTTAGAAATGGAAATGACCTGGAATGACATCATGACGTGGAATGACATCATGACGTTTATATTTTGTTTTTTTTTTAATTTTGTTTTATTTTTGGAAATTAGTTTTTTTATTTTGTGTTAATATATATATATATATATATATATATATATAGGTATAAGTAAATAGTTAGAATGTTTTACTACTCCTAATACAAATCCCATTTATAAAAATCAACAGGAACAACTTAACAAATTGTATTGAATACTATCAATTAGGATTAAACTGTACATACTTTTTTTACTGATATCTGACAACTGATTTTTTCTTTTTATTAGATCTTACCACTGTTCATGTTTCGGTGCCATTAATTAGTACTAAATTTTCATAGAACATGAGATATCACTCATTTAGAATGAATAATATTTTATTTATGTGACAATAACCTTAACATGTTTGTTATTTTTGTACAGTTTAATACTGATATATTCAGTTGTAGAATTTGCCAGCAAGCCATTTCTCTGAAATACAAATAGAATATTCTTGGAATAATCCAGGATGTCAATCCCAGAATATTCTATTCTGAAAATGAGGATGTTCTAGATATGTCTGGAATATTCTAGGAATAATCCCAAAGAGTAGTTCTGACATAATCCACCAAGAATATCCCCTGTATAATATAAGAATATGCCAAATATTCCAGGAATAAACATAAGTAATATTGTAAGTATATTCTCTATAAATATTCTAAGATTATTCCACGAATATCCTAGATATTCCTGGAATAATAGTAAAAATGATCTAAGTATGTTCCACTAGGAATATTCTTCGATTATTACAGGATTATTTCTAGCATGTTCCAGGAATATTTCTGAGGATTATTCTATGGATCATCCACATATTCCCATTCGCACATTCCAGGAATATTAATATCATATGTATATCTCTGGCGCATATCCCAGGAATATTCCATTATTCCTAAAAGATTATCCCAAGAATATTTCTAGATTATCTGGTGCTGACTGGGTACGTAACTAAAAAAAAAAATAGAATTTTTGACCGTCTGTGAAACGAGATATTAACAATCAAAATGTGCATAATTAACACTCTTGAAGCCCATCATGTACACAAGCAATGCATTTATTTCAAGATATTTCGAAAACGGTTCTTACCATATTTTTTAAAAACTAATGTTAAATAAATCAAGAAGTTATAAAATTTTATAAATAATCGCTGAATTTTTTGACCGTCTTAGTAAAAAGATAGATTTTTAAAATAAAAATATTTTTAAAGCAGTTGACGAGTAGTTTCGTAAAATTATTACAACTTGGCAACATTGTAACCACTTCACGTAACAAAGTAACACTCGATCAGCTAAGAGGTTGTTATAAACTCGCGACGTGTTCTTGAAAAATTAATTCGTCCACTGTGTTTAAGAACTGGAATCAGCGGTGCTGTTTGAATCAAAACAAACCCTTAAAATTAGTATGAGGAAGTCACAAATTTCTATACCATATCGTTTATATATTTTCGAGATGGCCGGATGAAAATGATTAAAACTATAACATGTCCATATGTGTTTATATACATGTGTTTTGTACAGTCTCTTACAAAAATAAAATTGATTAGCACTGAGAATCTTAACTTTTGGTATTCACCATTACGCGATATTTTTATGTACGACTGTCGCGAGTGAACTAACTACCTTAAGTGTAGTTATTATATCATACTGTTTTCAAGCACTACAACCACAGTTTATTGCTAAAGAATCAGTTAGCTCACTTGGACCAGTTGAATGTTCCAAAATAATATCCACTCCAGGGATACAAATGCAGGATGCGCAGAAGACTGCTGTTTGAATATAGGCGGTTGTCATATATTCTATTGGTTATGATTTGATTCTGTATGCGCCAGGGATACAAATCCGAGTTGCGCAGTGTATAAACTGGAACATTGAGATCAAAAGTGCCGACGCAGAGTGAGCGAACTGATTCTTTAGCTATAAACTGTGCTACAACTATTAATAAATGAATATTTTAGTTAGTTTAATATTTGTTTTGTTTTTAATACATTGAAAACCATCTATAAACATTATTAGTTAGTAAACTGACTTTTCTTCATAATTTGAGATTATTTTTCAATATATATCAGGTTACATAGAAAGCTTGACATTGATTTTTGTGTAAAAAATATTATATGAAACTTTACCTACCATTTTTCAGTTTTTATTGTAAGCTTAATCTTTTTCACAATTTGTCACATCGTCGCCGGGCTGCGAATACCTCCAATGTAACAAAAATATGTGAAATGTGCTAAATGCACATTGCATATCATATGACCATTCCTCAATAGTTAGTAATACATCCGAAGTGAATTTAAATCGCCAACCTTTCAAAAAAACCAAAACAAATTTCTCCAATGTACCACAATTTAGATATTAGGATGGAGAATAATCCTATGTGAAAATAATCACATAGGAGCTATTTAATTTATCTGGAAATATCTCCCATGTGGTTATATTAGATTTATAATACAACATTGGAGATATTTCTGTATGACATTTGATACACTTAAGAGATTTTACAACTAAAATGTCAAATTTCTAACCTCACTTTTAAACATTTCATTTCAAATAAACTGAGCGAGAAGTGTGTTTATTTTGCTAAAATGTTTTCGGCTAGAACTAATAAGATTTTGCTGAATGCCAGCAATATCAATAATAATAATAAAATTGAGATTAACAAGGAAAATAAAGAGAATGAATCTGATTTCACAATCATCGAAAATTATCGAACTTTGGAAGATGGAACTTTACTTATGGAAACTGTTATCTCTGAAGATACAGTCAGTAGGTACGTTTTCAACTAGGTATTTTTTGTTCATTTTGACAATTTTATTTTCTCGAATTTTTAGTGAAAAATATTGTAAAGATGAAAATATGAAAAATTCTGTATCGCAAACAGAATCAAGAAAAGAAATAAGCGAATGTTGCATTGAAGGCACAGAAACGGAAATTATTACAATACTACAATTAGAAAGTGAAAAGACGTTACAAGAACTAAACATAACCCAAAACGATGTTCTAAATTTGAATCAAAATAATGTACTTACACAAGACATTGAAGACAAGCCAGATAGTGAACAAATGATAGAATCAGGAAACATACATGATAATGTGGAAGAAGTGCACGAAATTATAACATATGAGATGGATGAAGAAATAAACGATGAGGAATTAGTGCAAGAAGATTTGGATGCTATAGAGATAGAAAAGTTGCAGAAAAAAGAAAATGTTACAAAGAAAAGAAGTGAAACCGCATTACGGAGATTACATGGAAAATCGTAT